GTTTACAAAATTTTATTTTTGTTTTTCAATTTCTGGCTTTTGGATGAACTGGTTTTTACAAATAAGGTGTCAAAATTCTCAAAAAAACAATTAGAACTTTTTGGTAATAAGTTTGACAAAAAGTATTTTTTTAAATTAGACTTAGAATCTAAATATTAATTTTGCTATTTTTTTAAATAAAAATTAAAAAATTAAAAATCAGCGCCCTCTGACGGCTTGGGGCTAAATAGACATGTTATACACCAAAATTCTCAGAAAATTAAACAGAATTTAATGGCATACGCAGACTTACCAAAAAACAACCCTAAACAATTAAGATGGTGGCGCCCTCTATCGAAGGGCCTTCCCCAGATGCGCCGGACCTAGGGAGCCTACTGTGAAAATTTCAGCTCAATCCGTTGAGAGACAAAGGCTGGAGGTCTGTGGGTACCCGCGACCCTGAAGGTGTTAAAACTTTGTAGTGCGTGTCATTTCACCAAAGCTATACAGTGAGCTTCATCTCATAGGAAACAATTAGTTGGTCAAATGTAGAAGTTAACTGGTCAAACAAAGTAATTTTTTAAACAAGAAGTCTTATTGTGCTATTGTAAATTTAATTATTCCATATTGAAAAGATTCTTGTTTTAATAAAGTTTCACCGACAATGTTACCGTTTAAGACAAATTAAGTGCACTTAATAACGACTCTAATGCTTTATCTGGTCAGACTAATTACCTTAAGCTACCTGCTACTGTAGCTATCCATGTAGCAACTTGGCAATGCATTACATTCAATCTAAAACTGCATTCAATGTTTTTCCTTTTCCGTTTTTACGAAAGAGTGCATTAAGTGCGAATTCGTTTCGGGGTGAAAAGAGCAATGTTCCATCTTTCTTTACACACAAACTGGCTATTTAACGTCAAATGATCAGAGCACAGAGAAGTAGTCGAATAGACCAGTAGGCAATACTGGCTGATAAAGCCACTTGGCGTCCCCCTAACTCACCAGTGTGTGGCTGCACATCCTTCAGTGCCCATTTAAGTGCACTTTTCGTGTGATTGTCGAGTTGCAAATTGACCAACGATTATTTAGTTAACCCAATGTTTTCACAGGCAACAGGTAAGCGCAGAGTGAGTAGCTGGCTGTCAGCACCAGTGCACCTAAACTGGCAGCTTATAGTTCTTGCAGTCGCGCCTGCATCACAACTACTGCTTCAGCTAAAAAGGGCTAGAAACCAGGTAAGGCCTACCTTTTCCCTTGTCAACGAGCTGGCTCACCTGTTGTCCAGAATAGCTGTGTGGCACTGTAGAAACCCTACTCAACTATAACGGCATAATTGAGCTAACCAATTTTGTGTTACCTAAAAAAGGTACCAATCACAGGGACTGTTTGACGGGAAAAGGCAGCAGCAGCAGCAGCACTGGAGAGTGAGACAGTATCAGTGTCGGCAGTATCAACTCAATCTTGCCCATCGTCGAGTGCCTCTATCACCGGCTGCTCTCTCCTCCCCGATTGGCCACTACTTTGGAGCACTCGGCCACTTTTCCTTTGCTTTTGCTGCTTCAGCGTACTGGACGACCACAGCAGGTCTAATAAAAATGGTTCGTCTTGATGTCTCAGCTGTTGACTGGAGTTGTTGCTGCTGCTACAGCAGACTAACTAACGCTACCAGCACAGCTGAACAGAATAGAATTAAGTCAGGCAAATATGTGTTACCGAAAAAGGTTGCCAAGGTGCGGTGCAACTTTCTGAACTGCCTCTTTCACTCACTCACAGTCTTACGCTCACTGGCTGTCATGTGTGTGTGTGTGTGTCCAGACTGTCTGCACTGTTTGCCGAGCTGTATATATACCATTTTGAAATCGGCAAAGCGCGCCTCAGTCTACCGCAACACGGCCGCAGCAAGTCAAGAGAGCCAGTGCCATTCACTTGCGGCCTTACTTCCCCAATCAATTTACCATTCTGCGCAATTGATGCTTGATGTTCACACTCTTCTGACAACAGCAACAGCACCACCATCTTCAGCATTCACAGCATCAGCACCTAATCAACGCATCATCACTTCCTCTGATCGATTTTGCTCTGTACGACAGCAGGTGGTCTTTCCTGCGACTTGTCAGCCATACTAAGCTAGACACTTTACCAAAACGATAAGAAATGATATGAAACTTGCATAATTTTTTTAATACTCTAACATTACGACATTTTAAAAATTGTTTTTGACACACTGCACACACATAAACTTTGTTTCTGTGAGAATCGCAAGTAAAACGTTAAGCAGACAGAAACCGCTATTGTCTTTTGCCCCCAGCATAGCAGCTTTACCGCCGTCCAGTCTGAGTCTGTTTCACACCAACGAGACCGTTTCATCGAGGCCTGCTGGGCTTAGCTGCTGCCGCTGCCGCTGCTGCAACTGCAATAGCAATAGCAATCGTTCTGTAATCGTTGTCAGACATAGCCACTGTCCCCTAATAATCACCGCACAGGTCACTGCTGGACACGACCAATGAACAGGCACTCTCACTAGCACTTTTCACTTTTCTTTCCTTCTCTGCTGTTGCCTGTCGTCTTATCAATCAAAGATTGCCACTCTTGAGTCTCTTTCTCTGTGAGTCACCTCTTTCCGCCTTTACCTCAAGATGCACCATTTCAGTAAGCCTCTTCGTCGTGCCACCAGTCTGCTGCTCGATCAAGTGGCCCCCACTCTTCCTCAGCTGACCTGCTTCCGGTCACTGAGCTCAGCCACTGCTCAGCTTCTGCCACCAGGCAAAACCCACACTGCCAGCTGTCCTTTTGCCGAGAAGAGCCAGTCATTTCAGCCAGCCAATTCATCTGCCTGTCCATTCAGTGGTGCTCTCAAGCAGCAGCAGCATGACCGGAAACGGAGCCCACCACAGTTAGACGTGACCAGGGAAGAGAGCACTGGACTGCCCTTTGATCAGATTCCCACCCCTCCCAGTTTACCCATTGTTGGAACACTATTTGATCTCATTCTTGCCGGTGGTGCCGAGTACGTGCACCAGTACTGTGATAAGCGACACAAAACGCTAGGACCAATCTACCGGGAAAAACTGGGCAACATCGAAGCAGTTTTTCTCTCCGATGCTAAGCTTATTCAGAAGGTGCGCTTGCTGTTTTTTGTTTTGCATCACTGACCACTTTCTATTTTAGGTGTACAAATATGAGGGCAAATATCCACAACACATGGTACCAGAACCGTGGATTATCTACAATCAAAGCAAAGGCATTCAACGTGGTCTCTTTTTTATGTAAGTGCAAATATTGAGCAAAATTCCTCTCTTTCTGTTAAACATTACTAACTGTTACTGCACTGATCTTAGGGAGGGAGAAGAGTGGAGCAGCCGACGGCGGACGCTGAATAAGGTCTTTCTCAAACAGTCGGTGATCAGCGAATACACGTCCGTTTTCAATGAAGTCATCACCGACATGCTCTCTAAGTGGAGCGACAAATTGGCCCAAGATGACAAGGGCAATGGCATTCTTATCAATGACCTGGAGAAAGAGCTGTACAATTGGTCCATTGAATGTAAGTTGCTGTACATTTTCAGTGATTACTTTTCACAATCAACCGTCAGTGAGCATCACTTACGGGCTATTAAATGGCGTTTTTCAAATGAGCCAAATGATTAGATAAGAACAATTTGAGAGGTAGTGAGAGAGGGAGAGGAAAAAATGTGAGGGGGCACTGATCGCCTTGGTCACCTCCGATCAGACTCGGTCAGGCGAATCGATACTGAAGCCTGTGGTGCTAATCGTCAGTGTCAATGTCAGTGTGCACTGGCAGGCAGGCAAATCACACACACACATCTCCACTTTAGTATTACATAAGAGCGCAGTCCAGAGTGCATTGCTGATGCTTATCAATATATGCTACATATCCATCAGTTTGCCGCGGCTTTGGGCACTCCTCTCACTGTGACAGTCTTTCCTCAGGCAGCCCCTCACTATCTCATCTCGATCCTCTTCCTCCTCCTCATCCTCCCTCACATCATCCCATATGTCACTAAAAGTAAATATTTACACGAGTCTACTGGCGCCAAGAAAAGAGAGAAGTAAGACTAGACTGATTCTAAGGACAAGAGCCGAACACTGCTGTCATATGATTTGTTTCATTGGACACTGTCTGCCTTTATCTTTGCCTCCTCACTACCGCTGAGAGGCACTGGAGAGAATCTCTCCAATCACACACACACGCGTTTTCTTCTTTTTTATCGCACCTTTCTCTTTGAAATGAACGATAAGTGAATGATTGAAAGTGATGAATGGAACTGTTGGCCGCTGTCGGTGCACTTCAAAGTAGACCTAGCCTTGGCCTTTCTCCAAAAGAAAAGAAACAACTTGTGACAGTGTGTCGGTGTCAAACTTAACTAACCAAGTCATCATCGTTTATCTCTTCCCAGCACTAGGCACAATGATCTTTGGCCGCCGACTGGGCTGTGTTTCCTCTTCGCAGGACAAAACCAACTTGCCCGACATTCACGAGTTTGTGCACTGTGTACAGCAAATCTTTGTACAGTCGGCGAACATGACGCTGATTCCGCCCAAGGTGGCCCACTACTTGAATCTGCCGGTGTGGAAGCGATTTGAGGAGGCGGCGAGTAAAGCACTCGATCTGGCCTCGCTTTACGTCACTGAGAATGCTCGACAGTCCAACTTTGACTCGAGCAACGGCATCATCCGCCAGCTGATGACCGACGGTGAAATTGCCCTGGACGAGATCAGTCGCATCATTGTCGACCTCTTTATTGCTGCCGCCGACACGGTAAGTTACTTGTCAGTGCTGCAACACCGAAGCAGGAGTTAACGCAAACTTGATCCTATTTTTGCAGACGTCGCACGCCACTCAATGGGCGCTCTATCTGCTGTCGAGGCACAAACACGTGCAAGATCAGCTATTTCGTGAAATAGAAGAAGTTACTCAGGGAGAGCCAGTTGAAGAGAAGCACTTGTCGCAGCTTTCTTTTGTAAAGGGAGTTATCAAAGAGTCGCTCAGGTACGTTCGCCAAATGTTGTCTTTGTTTCATTCATTAAATTTAATTTTTGCTGCAGATTGTACCCAGTTGCACCCTTTCTCACTCGGTACCTGACAGACGACCTCAACTTGGCCGGCTACACTGTGCCCAAAGGAGTAAGTGTTTTGAAGCAACAACAAATTAACTCGTACACCAACTAACCATTCTTTCTTCATTTCCCAGCAACTCGTGGTCATCTCCCTGTACACGTCAGGTCGAAAAGAAGAGTACTTTGAAAAGCCAGCACAGTTTCAACCTGAAAGGTGGATTCGTGATCAGGAAACTGGCAAACATCAGGTCAAGGACAACTTTGCCTGTTTGCCCTTTGGTCTCGGAGTGCGTTCCTGCATTGGCCGGCGAGTGGCCGACGTGCAGATGCAGCTGTTCATCTCTCGAGTAAGTTGAACTGAGCTCCAAACTGGTGGCACACTGTACTATTGACACTTTCGTCTCTCACTAGATGATACAGCAATTTTACATTCTGCCCACCAGCGATAAAGAAGTGGATATTAAGCTGCGAATGATTACGACCCCTGAGAAGGCAATTGACTTGCTCCTCAAGCGACGATAGAACGGCACTAGATGCCACAAAGCTCACCTTTGAATTTATTTTGCACCAAACTATATTCTTTACTACTTCAACGCAGAGGCCAATTTGCGTAGCTCACCCCCACCGATTAGAAAACTTTACACTTAATCTCACCCACCGACCCCACCGATCAAAGCACCTCGCAACCCATCTTTCAGTCATCTCAATATTATTTATTGCCACTTTAACAGTTTTTACATTCACGCATACCAGCATTGTTATTACCGAACCACATTGCCAGGCACTATTCGCATCCAGTCATCTTTCAAGTTTTTTTCCCCTTTCTCCCTGTCCCACTCACCTCATCCTCCTTACCCTATTTTGTTTTGCACAATGTGATGTCATCGTGTCATTTTCACTCTATTTTTTCTTCTTTAATTGTTCTTGTTGCACCCTTTTTCACCCTAGACACCCTTTCTTATAGCACCCTTTTTCCAATTACCCATTCTTTCACATCAGTAGTCATGCTCAACAGCAATGAAATATTTCAAATAGTGAGCGAGTTGCTCCACTGGACTGGTTCGCCTCTGCCGGCACTCAACTTGGCCCGTTTTCAAATCACAGTACTGTTCAACTGGGTACCACTTGTGATAACATTTTGGCTCAACTCACTTGCAATGTGATACGCCTAGAAATATTTACCAAAGCCAACAGCATGCAATGTTCATTTGTTCACTAGAATTTGTAGTTAATATATCAATTTAGTAAATTGTAACTTTTTTAATCAATTAAAATTTATACAAACATTCCAAGATGATCAGCGTAATCAGTTGATTAATTTGCTACTGTACTCACAAATGTACAAATGTACAAATGACAGGTAATCGGTACAGCGAGTAATCTCTCATGGCCATCACAAATAGGGAGGTTGTCCCGTCAAACAAAGTATGGAATCATATCGATAGTAGACCAACAGACCGCTTGTCTTTAATTGTTCAGATCAGATTGACTGTGTGCGCAGTGTCGCTATTGCAAATGCCGCCATTTCTAAGCAGTATTACTTTTGTTGCTGATAATCGCGGATTATTACCATGGCGGTGCATTATATAAAAGTAAACTCCAGTAGGCTATAATTGCCAGGCTCTTGTTTCTTTCAAAAACCAAGTAGTTTTAGCTAGAATAATGGCTTTCTTTCTTCTCTCCGTTCTTTTGTTGAGCTTTTGCCCTTTTGAAACGCTAGGTGAGTTTCCAAGAATTGGCCATTTGCTTATTTTACGCTAAATTCAACTTTTTCATATTTTAGGCAGTGCTTGCGATTCTATTCACTTTGTTTCTCGTCAAGAATGGAAAGCAAACCCTTCAAACTTGACCGATATGAAGTTGCCAGTTCATCATGTAAATATTATGAAGTTTCAATTTCTGCCTGTTCAACAACTCTTACACACATTTGTAGGTATTTATTCACCACACTCTTCAGGAGGAATGTCACACCAAAGAGGAGTGCATCAAAACAGTCAAGTAAGTAATAAAAACTGCATCATTATCTTAACAGCATGCCCAACCTTTCTAGAACAATGCAGATTTTTCACAACGTTACTCGAAACTTCGGAGACATTGGGTAAGTTTTCACAGTATCGAAACTTTATTGTTCTTACTCTCTTGGTCAATTGTTTTTGCAGATACAACTTTATCGTCGGCGGTGATGGCAACGTCTACGTCGGCCGGGACTGGGGCAAAAATGGCAGACACACCAAAGGAATGAATGAACACTCGGTGGCGTTCTCGCTCTGTGGTGATTACAACAAAAAACTACCAAATGAGAAGATGATCAAAGCTACCAAGCAGTTGATTCAGTGTGGTCTTGAGAAGAAGGTCATCGCCCAGGACTACCAGCTGCATGGTCATCGAGATCAGGTGTGCACTGAGTGTCCGGGAGATTTGTTTTACACCCAGGTACGTTCGCCAATTGTTTTCTTTGTTTCATTCAATAAATTTAATTTTTGTTGCAGGAAGTCCGAAAATGGGATCGCTATGTTGCCGGGCCGCTGGAAACCTACACTTGCCCTTATCCTTAAAACTGTATTCTGTTGTGGTTTATTAATTAAAAAGCAAAAAAATTTAAGTTATAAAGTGAACCATTGTCACAGTTAGAATGGCAAAACAACTAAACTCCGTCCACTCGAAACATATTGAGCAGGTCGTCATTATAAGTCCGCGAAATGTCATCAACGACAGTCAACAGTTTTTTGGTCTGCCAAAAAAAAAGTAGACAAATGACCTTTTTCTCATCTAGAAAATGTAAAGAAAACTTACCCATAGCTTAAGTTGATTAAAGCGCTTTCGTTCCACTTTGTATGCCTTTTGGTTATCGTACTTTTCACGCAAAAAGTTTGCAGCATCATCGAAGAATTCAGTGCGAAGTTTATGTGTTTTCTTGTTGAGATCTTCAATCTAGTGAAAGTTTCAAACGAGAAAGTTGTTGAGTACAAAGAAAGCAGACTGATCCAAACAAACTCGAGTACCTCGTCAAAGAGCATTTTAAAGGTCTTCTCTCTGGTGACTGGATTGATGAATCGCTCCATGTCGTACTTCTCCACCCCTTCCAAACACTCCTCCATCTGCAAGGCCGTCTCGGCGCTCACCTCAGAGCGAGTGTTCATAAAGGTGAACTGCTGCGGTGGCTGCTGTTTGCTGCTCTTCTGCCCCTCCTTGCCCATCTTGTTCTTTGCCTGTCGTCGATTGTGCATGTGCACTAGGCTGGTGACGATGCTGTGGAAAGAGAGTAGCAAATGGAACAGTGATTTACTAGAGATTCAGGCAGCACTTACCTGCCGTAAGAGTGCTTCAGCGTTGTCGCCCCCGAGTTCAGCTCGGCAATCTACAAACCGTCAATCATATGAGGACACATTGGCAGTAGACAGTGCACACTGCTTACCTCATCGAAGAGTGCCTCAAACTCGTTGGTGCCAATCTCCGCCGAGTAGCACATCGGCGACGCCTCCTTCCTCCCTTTTGGCTGATTCACCGTTGGCTTGGTGAACTCCACTGACTCGGTCGGGGGCGGAGGCGGGAGCGGCAGCGAGACTGCCTGTTCCGCTTCTGCCTCCCCCGACTGTTCTTCTTCTTCCTCCTCTTCGGCGGTGGTGGTGGCTTTCTCCTCTTTAGCCTTCTCTGCCTCTGCTGTCTGTTGACTGCTCGACTTTCCCTCCACTGATTCGGCCGGCTCGGTGGCAGAAGACGCGGGAAGATCCACGGATGCGCTCTTCTCAAGTTTTCCGCTTTCCTCCGGTGCCTTGGAGGCCGCCTTTTGAACACTTTCCAGTGAGGATTCAGAGAGCACTTTTGCAGGAACCGCTTTGACGATCGCTTTCTTGGTTGTTGAAGATGGCGGCGGTGGTGCAGGCATCTTTTCTTTGTTCTTTTTTAGCGGAGACTTTTTCTTTGCAGACTTTACGTGAATTTTGCAAGCCTTTTTAATAGCCTCTTTAATGTCGACAATCTGCTTGACTTTCTTTGGGACTGTTTTCTTAGTCAGGGCTGCCTTGTAGCTTGATTCTTTATCTGATTCAGTCACTTTTGAAACATTCACCTTTGTCTTTGGCTTGACTGGAGGCTTCTTGACTAAAGTGGGCTTTTCCTTTTTAAGCATCTTCACCACTTGGTTTTCCTCATTACTGTTGGCAGAGGCATTTGAGCTGATGACGCTATCAAGCACATCATTTTGCGACTTTTCACTTTTGCATTTGGATTTTTGAATCTCAGATTTTGGCGGCTTTGCGTGCGTTTTTGTCTTTGTATTAGGTTTGGCCACAGTACCCTTTGGTGGCGGTTTTGCTTTGTTTGAATTTGCCTGTGCGCTTTTTTTCCCTGAAGATTTGTCTTGAACTTTTGACTTGGGCGACGTCTTGGCAGATTTGTCTTTGTTTTTAGGGCTCTTTGAAGAAACTACTTTGGACTTGTTACTCTTTGGCTTAGCCTTGGCTGATTTCTTTTCCACTGCCTTTGACTTTTCCTTGGCAGACTTTTTGTCTTTGCCACTTTTATGCGTGTTGGCATCTTTTGTCTTCTTTGACTTGTGCTTATCTTTGTCTTTGCCCATCGATGAAAAAAGTAATGTAGCAAAACAGTTGTTATGTGGGAACTTTGAAGGGGTGATTCATTCAAGACTATTTATGCTGTGAATCATTATTACTATGTGATAAAATAGAACATTGCAAATTGATGTTTTAATACAATTAAATCAGATGAAATATCCTCTACATTTAGACAAAAAAAGTTTGATTACAGTTTACACACAATAGAAACTGTTTTTGGAATTTTGTTTTCAAAAGAAAGTAGAAACAAGATGAAACTTGACGAGTAATGAAACGTTTAATTAGTAATGGTGGCGCCCTATTTGCAGATGTCATTTTGATTAATCTCAATGGTCTTTCGTTGTAGTGTCTGAAGAGTTGAGACTTTGGGCAGCAATTCTTGGAGCAGGTGTGTCAATCAGTTCTCCCAGTCTTAGTCTTTTTATGGATGTTCAGTTACTGTTGGAGTGTCGCTGTCATCTTGAGTAGTGTTTCTGCAAACACTCATGTACGTTTTAATATACAATTGCACAAACAGTTTTAAGGACAATTTCAAATCATCAGGCATGCTTTGGAGAGCACAGAGAATTTCTCCATAAGAGCTAATGTTGATCTCGTTCTTGACTGTAAAAAAGAAAGCTATTAAAAAATAGAAGTTAAACATAGATGACAAAAATTTACAAAAGTTTTCCTTGAGATAGGAGATGGCCTTTTCCTTTTCTTTTTCTTTTGAATAAAGTCCATTTCTTTGCAATTGCGAAAGATTTTTCGAGTCCATGTTTAGTGATGAAATTTTCTAAAAAGAAAGTTTGCAAAATGATTGAGGTTAAAAGAATTTTAAAATGCAAGCAGTTGAAGTTATGTTTGGATATCAAATTACATTGACAGAAGAACTCGCGAGTAGATTTGACTACTTTTGAAGTGAAAACCAACGTTGTTTTTTGGAAACAAGAGTTGAAGGCAACTCATGAGACAAACGCGTAATCGTCTTTGCTCCTGCAGTGCAGTTTCTCCGCTTGGTGTCGCCAGTTTTAAGATATAGACATTTTTTCAAAACAGCATGTCTGCGAACGTAGAAGGAACGCCCTTTTGTCGCGTTTCAACACTTGTGTTTTCGATTACCTGAACAGGGGAGCAAAACACGTGCGATTTTGTTTTCAGCAAAACAACATTGTTTTCTCCAAGGTGCGCTTTCTCCATTATTTTATTCATCATGAGTTCAGATGATGAACAAGGTAACACTGTGGGTTGTAAACCTGATGCACAATAACTAAATTGTTTCATTTCAGACATGTCAGCCAGCGAGTCTTCTACGCAAAGGGCACCTCCAATTGTAAACACTGAAAAGTCAAAATCGTGTAAGCGAGGAATCGTGTACCTCGGCCACATTCCAGATGGATTGAATCCAAAGAGTATTCGCCTTTTACTTGGAAAGTTTGGCGAAATTGATCGAATATATTTGGAGCGAGATAAATCGCTAAAAAAGAACTCAAAGTCGTCAAAAAAGTCTCGATACGTGGAGGGCTGGGTTGAATTTAAAAAGAAGAGTATTGCAAAGATGGTTGCAGCTACACTGAATGGAACGACGATTGGAGGAAAAAGAAGAACAAGATTTTACGGTGCATTGTGGAATTTAAAATACCTAAAGAGGTAAACTATATGTATCACATTTCAAATTTTAACACGAGGTTACTTTTATTTAGATTCAAGTGGAGCCATTTGACTGAGCAGATGAATTACGAAAAGGCTTTAGTGGATCAAAAGTTGCGAATTGAAATGAGACTTGCCAAGAAAGAGGCCACCTTTCAGGCGCAAATGATTGAGAGAAGTCGAAAGAAAAAGCAAATTTTTGCCGACCCCGACCGGAGCTACAAACAGCGTGCCACTGATGAACAGATACTGGCGGAAAAGGAAGACGACGGCTTGGATGATCAACTAATGGCGGATATATTCAAGTAAAAGACCTGGCTTTTTATTTCATGTTATGTACATATTTATTTACATGGGGCGTTATTCAAGTAAAACCAGAAAAAGATCAATGAGAATCACAGTTTTTCATCGGGGGCACTAGCGTTAAAGTAATAGATCGAGTCGTTGAAGTGCTCCAAATCAATATAGTTGCTCTTTTCCTCTTTAATGTCGAGCAGCATCTTTGCCAGGTGGTGTTTCACGTCGGTGAAGGTGAACCGATCCTCGGCCTTGTAGGCCCAGCAGCTCTTCATCAGGTCGTACAGTTCATCGCTGCAGTGCTCCGGCTGCTCGGCAATGTTGCCCTGCCTGATGAAGCTGATTACCTCCTGGGCACTCATGCCAATGTACGGTGTCGAGCCGAGGGTGCATATCTCCCAAATGAGAATGCCAAACGCCCAAACGTCGCTTTTGGTGCTGAACAGGCCCATGGATAGGGCTTCTGGGCTCATCCAGCTACAGGGGAAGGAGGAATGACGATTTTTAAAGTGATTAGGAAGGCTATGTCAAGATATGAGCTATTGTCAAGTTTTACCGAATGGGCATTTGTCCGGCGTGCTTCATTTCGTACGTGTCGCCTTCCTTGTCGCGGATGCTCCGGGACAAGCCAAAATCGGCAATCTTGCAGACTTTATTTTCATCTATGAGGACGTTTCGCGCTGCCAGGTCGCGGTGAATAATCTGCATGTGAGGAAAGCTTGTAAGCGGATGAAAGAAGAACAAAGTTGCTCTAAAAAACCTACCCCGTGACTGCTGATGAACTCCATGCCTTTGGATATTTGGTAGGCAAATTGAATGAGGTCAAAGGGTACGAGGTTATCCTGTAGAGCTGTGGGCTGCGTCCTGTTGTGGTTTATTTCACTGTACCCATAGGCGTTGTTGTTGCAGTACGTCAGGTAGTTGTTGTTGTGAATTACAGCAGTCAGCGGCGGCAAATCACTGTCCGCCTCAAAGTAGTTGGCACCGTCTTTGCGGTGGTGTCGCAAAAAGGAGAGCAGTTTTCCCATGGAGATGTACTCTAGCACCAGGTAATAGGGCTCTGCAGTGAAAGAGGGAGGAGCAGTTGTTGGAACAGTGTTGACTTTTTTACAGCGGCAACTTACCATTTTCAGTGCAGCAGCCNGAAGTAGTTGGCACCGTCTTTGCGGTGGTGTCGCAGAAAGGAGAGCAGCTTTCCCATAGAGATGTACTCTAGCACCAGGTAGTAGGGCTCTGCAGAGGAGGAGGAAGACGTTGTTGGAGCAGTGTTGACTTTTTTACAGCGGCAACTTACCATTTTCAGTGCAGCAGCCAATCAGACGAACCACATTGGGATGGCTGCCCAACTGCAGCATAATGTCGAGCTCCTTCAGCAGGTCTTCCTGTTCTTCGTAATTGGCATTTACTTTGTTCGTCTTTATTGCCACCAGCGTTGGCTTTCTTTTGCTGTACATTTTGGCCTTCCAGACCTTTAGGGAAAAAAGACAAAATAGTAATTACTTATAAGTAAACAATATTGATCAGGAACCAATTCACCTGTCCAAAGTTGCCTTGCCCAATGACCTCAATCATCTCAAAGCACCGTGGCATCTCTAGCGTGTAAATCTTTTTGATCAGTTTTGAGCGGTAGCTGTTGTACAGTTGAGCGTTAGCATTAGTGGACATCTCAGCGCGCTTGGCAATCTGCCGGTGGAGCAAGCTGCTGTCGAGGGGCACACCGTTGATCAGGTCCCCCTTCACCAGACTGTGTGACAGTTTGTCCGCATCCGAACTGCTTCCGCCGGCATCTCTTTTGGTGTCGGGACGTGAGCAGCTGCTACGGAGGTGCTTCATCCACCAAAGACACCCTCCGAAAGCGGCGGGCAGTATGCCAATAAAGAGGATGATGTAAATCTGCACCTGAACTCCAGTGGAAGGAGGGGCCACTGGTGCCCTACTGTGCTCTCTTTCTCTTTCACTGTTTACCACCAAAGTGCCCTTTTGCAGGTATATTCGTGTGGGCGGTGATTCACTGCTGCTGGTCGGCTGCTCAGTACTGGCATTGTTTATCACAGTCGAGTTTTTGCTGGTCAGCGGAGCTAATGTGGTCGTTGCTGTTGTACTGCTGTTTGGTTCAGTCTGGTTAAACTGTTCACCTGGTTCAGGTGCTGCACTTGTCACTAGGTGGAATGCTTAGATTATGAAAAAATAATGCTAGAGAGTGACCATGCATGACTTACTTTGTAATAATAAATAGAGGAAAACAGCAACAGGTAGTTGATTGGGCCACGTTGTAACTGGTCGCACTACTGGCTTTGCCGGTTTTAAAAGAAATTTTGTCATGTTGGTGCGTTGTGTTGAAAAAAGAGTTGACGTTTAAACGGATGTTTGTCACAATGTCGATTTGTTGCA